CAAGTAGGTGTTATGTTTGACACAATGCTTAATTTTCCATGGCATTGTGTTAGAAATGAGAAATTCACACTTTAAAACACTAATAGATACTAATGGCATGTGTATTTCCCAGGATTTTCCCCATACAGATCTTTTTAAGGTCAAATGAGCCCCAAGACCTCAGAAACACCACCAAGTGGGAATTAGGTTTTCTCCTGTCCAAAGAAAGAGTTGATTTTAGATGGTTGTGGAGTAAACACCTTATTTACATCTGACAGCAAGTGGGAATATGATAAATTTGGCCAATTATAATGCAAGCATCATTAAACTATAAATAATTCACTTATCAAAATGATGGCACTGGATTTAATTAATTTTCTAGCTGCTGACTCTCTTTTCTTCTTTTGGAAATGCAGCTTTCACTGAGTCTCTGCCTGACAGATGTCAGTTTTCTGTCCCTATCTCTTTTCTGGGTGAAAAACAGCAAAAACAAGTTTACCTTGAGCTTTCTTTCCAGCTTCTGTGTGAGTCTCATGAAGTGGGTTTGTGAAGGAAGGCAGTAGAAAAAGGATTAGCACATTTCAGTTAATTTTATTGACTTTATTTTCCTCATGATTACCTGTGTAAGGTCAAATGTAGAGACTGAACAGTTGTATTTTCAGTCTTGGATTACACCTTTTTGTGGACTACACATCATAAAGTTTCACTCTAGTAGGGCCTTTATAAATATCTGACCCTAGTCCCATTATTGCAGAGTGCAGAGTGAATAGGTGGTGAGAGGTCCATTCTGCGGGATGATCAGGGTACAGGATCTTTTGGTACAGGAGACACCTGAACAGTGCCGGGGTGCTGCTGCAAGTGTACCATCTCACCATCACACAAGATCACACATGGTGGCAGAATTCAGGAAGTGCTGGCACAACTTGAAGGAAATGTACTGACACTAGCAAAGGCCAATCCCTCCTTCTTGGGCAGGAAGTTGTGGAAGGGGAGGCTCAGCCATGCCTTGCTTCTGAGAGGTTCCCCAGGGCAGTGGAGGTACAGTGTCACAGGCTGAGGAGCTGGAGAATGTGTCCTAATGAGTTATCCAAGTAGGGATAGTGTTGGCGACCCATATGGAAGTAACACTAGGAAGTGAGTGTGTATAAAAACAATCTATAAGAAAGGCTGTCACATTCCAGTCTGAAGGAAGAATGCAGAACTGGAGGCTCGGCTCACTGCAGACATTTTCATCTTCCCAGAAACCTTCCTTATGAATTGAATAAATCTGGCAAGGTCTAATAGGATTGGTGAGGGTGAGCCAGCTTCGGCTACGTGCTTTGTCACTTGGACTTTTTTCTCCTTTTCTCCTGTTAAATACATGACTTTAGGAATTGTCATCTAATTGAAAGAGTTAAACTTTTGTATTTTTTAAGAAAATAAAATAGGTCTGATCAAACTACTGAGCACATACTTAAAATTTGAGGAATAGTTATAGTAAGAATCACATCTCCGTTAACCCTCCCTCCAGATAGACACTTCCTCTTGAATTGAACACACTTATCGATTTTGCCACTTTCTGAAGCAGTTCTGGAGTCCTCTGCCAAGAGTGTCTGTATGAGTTGTGATTAAAAAAAAAAAAAAAAAAAAATATATATATATATATATATATATATATATATATATAGAGAGAGAGAGAGAGAGAGAGAGAGAGAGAGAGAGCTGGCTGCTGCCCAGTGCTGTCTTAAGGAAAGGCAGGCTCATCAAACCTTTAGGATGTGTCCACATTCACTGTATTCGTTGGCTCCCTGTCTCTGCGATTCCTGCCTGTCTCATTGTCAAAATGACCATGAATAGAAAACATGTTGAATCAACTCGGGAGACAAGCAGCCATTGCTTTTTTATTATTGTGTGTTTGTAGAACATAATGATCACCTGGCTTATACTAATTTTACACAAACTTTAAACATTCATCACATGTATTGATCACACTTTGGACCTACTTGTGACATGCAGACACAAGCAGGGCTCACAGAGCATGTCAGTTTGAACTGATCAGAACCAGTTTAAAAGCTCTGCAGAATCTTTAAGCTCGAGGTCAGGAGTTCAATCCCCAGTATACAAAAAAAATAATCTCATAGGAAATTATATGAATGGTAGAGAGAAAAATCATGTACTCAGCACAGATCCTGCTTTTTCTCTGTGTAAACAGCACCGTGCTTTTTTGTATGTCTGTGTACTCACACACACATGCACACTGTGTTTTGAACCTTTGAGTGTTACAAACTTCATAACCTTATACTCTAAGTACTATAGTGCCTATTTCTGAAGTGCAAGCCATTGCCTGTTATCAGTCAGGGAACTGAGCATTGATAAATATTATTAGATGATCTGTGGGTCTTCCTCAGCTTCAGTTTCCCTGATAACATCCTTCACAAAACTCTTTTTCCTGCCCCCAAGATCCAATCTAGGATCCCGTCCTGTACTTGGTCTTTATGAATCTTTGATCTCTGTTAATCAGAACCTGTTCTTCAGCCTTCCTCTGTCTTTCACACTGTCAGCGTCCTGGGGCACTTGCAGTCATCCTGTGGAATGTGCTCCATTGTGGGTTTGCCTGATGTTCCTTTCTCATTGTATTTCCCCCGTTGGGTTTAAAAAAAAAAAAATCTCTGAATTTTAAAACACTCTTCCCATTGCTGTGTCTGTATCCAGTGTGTTGATTCCGCCTGTTGCATGGAATTTCTTGTGAGAATCGCCTCTTGGAAAGAATCCACAGGGCTGCCAGGAGAGCAGTGTCTAGGGTATTTTCTTTGGCAGGAGGAAAAGGAGGTGGCTCTGCCATAGGGAATAAAAAAGCCCACTTGCACACACATGTGTGGGACTCTGTGCCTTAGCTGATGGTTGACAACCTCCAGCGTTTACTTCCTCAACTGTTTCTAAGGCAGGAGGAGCCCTTATGCTTGCAGAAAATGAGCCCGGGTAGGAAGTTGATCTTGATCATTTTGTGCATCATTCACTCGTGCACTTAAGCAACAGTGTTTTAGAGCCTACTGTGCCTGCTGGACCCCATCTTCCAGCGTATTGAACCTCAGAAAGAGAGCTTTTGAATTGCAGACTGCTCTCTCTCTGATGGGGAAATGTTAGATATGGTAAATGGGTTGACAACATTTTCAATTTATTAGTAAAGTATCCTTATAGAAAGTTATTCTTCTACCTCTTTCTCTAAATTCAGTGATTTCTGTTTCTCTCAGGTCTTTCTTTTATTTCTCAGACTGAACATAATTTTGGCATCGTTATCTCCACAGTGCATAAGTAACTTGGCACGCCAGGTGCTTGGTGAGAATTATTCGTTGTGTCTGTGCCCACGCTTCACAGCCTGCACATTCATCGCTGCTAATGATGGCAGTGGCAGTAAATCCTCTCAAGCTGATCTACTGTAACTCGCATTTCGCTTTTGTTGTAGATTTGTTTTTTTTTTTTTCTAGTTTTTCCACCAGTGTTAGGAACAATTCCTTTTTTAAAGGAAGTTGGTAACAGCGTCTCATGTGAGAGCAGTTCTGACAAACTGTTTTGTCCAACATTGTTCATTGTAACATACAAAAATATAAGATTCCTGTGAAGAAAACACAGCCTGTCTTTAGAAGGGAAACTTATTCTTTCCTTATATTTTGAGTCTCCATTTGTAATGGGAAGGTAATTGATGGAGAAACACCTGATGGATCTCAGGTTTCTAAAGGTACCTGCTTGCTGCTAGGAATCCACACATTTCAAGTGGAGTGTGGGGGTGGGGGGTGGGGTGGAGCAGTGGGCGTCACTGAGACCCCAGGATGGAGGCATTGGGACCCCTACTGCCGGCAGTGGCTCCCAGTCCCTCGCTTTCCTTGACACAACTGCATAATCTTAAGTTTTTGTGCACTTTGCTTCTGGGGGGAATCCATCAGCCATGGCAGGAGGCAGCGAACTCCCTCCCAGCCTAGAGGGTAGATTGGTGGTCCTGACTAGGATGCACCTGACCAGCACTCCCGAGCAGTGCTTTGAGGGGAGACAGAAGAAAGCAGGAGTGTTCAGGGCTCTGTGGGGAACTGAAATGTACAGATGGCTCCAGCTCTTTCCTCCAAGAGCCTCTGAGCTTCAGGAGCTGAGAGGTGCTCCCAGGGGTAAAATAGAGGCTTGTGATCTGCGGGGACTGTCTTACAGTATGTATTTAAAGACATGTAACTTAACTGGACTTTGGTAAGGCTGAACCATTCATACAGCCCGTTGTTGTGCAGGCTCAGTAGGCATCTCTGCAGATCCTGGAGCTGTGGCCTTGTATTAGAAAGATGCCCATAATGTTTCAGATAAAGATTTTTTTATTCCTGCAGAATGTCTCAGTTTTACTCCACGGAAGCAGGGCTTTATGTACCTGGTTTCTTGCTCTAGTTTCTCATGGCTACATAGGAGTTTGAAGTATAAATAGGGGTCAGTCAGTGTTTTTTGATTGGATGATGACTTTAGGGACTGGACTTTGTAGGATGAGTGTGGGGTCAGGTATGCAGATACTGCCCTGAGGCTTAGAGGGTTGCCTCAGGTTACTGTAGAGATGAGCAGCTGCAAGAAGCAAGGTCTGGGAGCAGTGAGGTGCAGAGAGAGAAGTGCATGGGCTGAGGAGCCAGACAGGTGAGTGTCACTGTCCTCATTCCATTGCTCTGTGCTGTCTCCCCTCCTGTTTACTGCCTCTGACCCTCCCCATTGTTACCTGTAACTCTGAAGTGAAAACACTTTCCTGAGGGTTTGTGTGACATTGATGCGCTGAAAAGTGTTTCCCTCATGGCCACTCCCCTGCTGAAAGGGAGGCAGAGAAAAGCAGGAGAGGCCTAGATACCGGGTCCAGGGCTGTCCAGGAAACAGAGATTTGCGTCAACCTTACCTGTGCTTTACTGCTTGCCACAAGCCGGGCTCCTCTTCTGCACCAGCAGCTCAGGTATGGGTCCTTCCCACAGCGTTCGGACCTGTTCACTCTGCTTCATGTCCCTGAGTAACTGTGCTTTTTGCTTCCACAGGATTTATGAGCGTGTGATAGATCCTCCAGAGACCAACTTTCCCCCAGGAAGCAACTTATGGCTTGGGCAGCGCAACCAAAAGCATGGTTTATTCGAAGTAAGCTCTAACTTTCATTCATTCACTCATTCATTCATCCATTCATTCACACACATTTCATACATGTATATTTTTCCATATGTGCACATGTATACTGCTCAACATAAATACTGGAGATGTGTATATAATTATCTTAGTGGAAAGGCATGCTGTAGTAATTCCTGATGCTAACTGAACACTTAGTATGTGCCACATGCTCTTCCGAGTGCTTGACATGAGTTAACTTATTTCATTGTTACAGTGACTTTGTGAAGTAGATGCTCTGAAATTAGGCTGAGAGCTAAGCCATGTGCCTAGAGGTCACACAGCTTCTGATGCTGCTGGGCAGGATGATCTTGTATGTAAATTATCCTCAGAACATGCCTCACTGATCTCCCAGTGATGGGGAGCTTAGGTGGTACTGGAGTTGGTTTCCCTCAGTGGACTATGACTGTATTAATTCAAGCTGGAGAACCAGGTCAGTGCATGTGACCGGGGATGAATCTCAGCTTGCCTGAACTTTAGTCTTTTTGTCCACAGAGAGGATAATTGCTTTACTGTACTTCATGAAAACAAGAGGATGCAATGATAAAAGGAATTGAAACCCCTAAAAAGACCATGAAGTTTTAAGATGGTTTTGTTCTTTTAAAGAATCATAGACTTTTGCCTCTGGCAGTATGGCAGAGCAGGTATTACAAAAGTCTTCCTGATTCAAAATGCCTGTAAGTGCTGGATTAAATGCAACAGAAATCTTTAAAAATGCATCTTTATGCTTAGAAGAAAGGAAATTTTAGGAATAAAATACTCAGAGGAGATAAAATCCAGAAGGGCATCTCCCAGCACTATAAACTTGGAGCTTTCAGGATTTCCTCTTTCCTATTTTTTTACAAAATCAAAGTAGAGTTTACATGCAGTAAAATTTTCTCCTTTCTATGTGCAGTTTTGCCCAACTTGTATAATTCATCACCTATTATGTCAGAGAAATAAATATCCCCTCACCTCCAAAAATGTCCCTGTAACCTTCATACACACCCCTACTCTTTAACCCCAGTCTCCCTCTAACATCCACTGATCTGTCCTCTAACCCTAGCACGGCCTTTTCCAGAGTGTTGTATAGATGGACCTTTTCATGTATATAGGTATTTACTTAAGTCTGTGTGCTAGGGTTGCTGTGCTGGTAGAAGGTTCTTTCCGTTCTGTTGCTGAGTAGCATTCCAATTCTGTTGTATGAATAGACAGATTGTTTATCTATTTGTTACTGAGGAACACTTGAGTTGTTTCCAACTACTAAATAAAGTTACTATAAACATTTACAAGCAGGTTTTTCTGTGTGTATAGGTTTTCATTTCACTTAGGTAAATACATAGATGTGGGATGGCTGAGCCATACAGTAAATATATGTTTAACCTCACAAAATGTTTTACAAAATGTCCAAACCCTTTTACTTTCTCACAGGTAGTACATAAGAGTTCTGGCTGGAGTTTAAAAATCAAAGTGTGTGAAACATATGTAAGATGTATTACAGATCACATGCATGTTGGTAGTTGGTCTGGAAACTTCTGAGCTAAATCCAGGACACAGGACCCAGCTACTTCCAACAAAAGGGTGGGCTGAAAAGCTCTCCTGCCTCGAAGAGAGGCTATCTGGTATCAGCCTGTCTCTACCTTATCTCTGCATAAGAAAAAACAATCATTTCCCTAGCAATTAAACCTCTACCTTATCATTTTACAGGCCTGAATCCTAGATTCATGGAACACTTAAACTGTCTTAGTGTGGCCCAAGGTACCCTGGGTTGGTACCTTGAAATTCCTGTGGAAGAACATGCAGGTTATTTTTGCAGAAAGTCACACTTGGTGCAGATCTTCCAGGATGCCCATAGATAAAGTCTGTGACAAAGTGTTTTGACAGACACTGTGAGTGACAGTGGGAAGAAAGAACAAAGTGGTCAGTTGAACCCTTTGGGACTACATACATTGAAATTATCAAGAGAATCTTTAAGATTCTTATCTTAAAAATTTAAAGACAAAAATAATAAATTTAAGGGAGTATGGTGACTAGAGATGATAAATATGTCCAGGAATAACTGAACCAAAAAGCACTTCCTGAGATAACAATGCAGTCATCGAAGTAAAGCTGCTGAACAGTAGATTAGACACAGGAGAGGAGAACAGTGAAATGGAAAACATCATCAAAGTAATTATCCTAACAGTGTTTGAGAGAGAGAAAAACAGAAGGAAGAGACTGAAACACAGAAATCACATTTTTTTTGTTGTTTTTTTTTTGTTTTTTAGTTTTGAGACAGGGTCTCACCGTGTGGTTCAAGCAGTCTCTGAGCTCACTGTATCGCCCAGGCTGGCCTTAAACTCATGGCAATCCTCCTGCCTCAGCCACTTGAACACTGTGATTATAGGCATGCACCACCATGCCTGGTTAGAAAAGACAAATTTATATGTAAATGTTTACCTACCCATTAGTATGTGCATGTATATATGTACGTGTGCATGTGTCAATACACGTATCATTGAAAATTCCAAAAGATAGTATACAGGGTTTATGATCAAAGGCACCAATTCTCATTGTATGAAGAACATGAAGTTATGGTGTGTGCTACCAGCTGCTGCCTAACCAGTCACTTGGGACACTTTAGAGGTGTGCGGAGGAGTTTTCCCCAGCTCACTGTTCTGTGGGTAGATTGGTTATCTTTCTGGTCTGGGCTGGCACCAGTGGGCAGGAGGACCTGAGGTGGCCTTGTCACATCCGGAAATGGATGGCTGTGGCCTCCTGCTCCTCAGTCTGCTCCATGTGGCCTCCTCGGCCAGGCTGCTCAGGCTTATTCACACGGCTGCCGCAGGGATCTAAGCATGAGCCTAAAGGAAGCCCTGTGCACTTGTGCTTCTCCAGCCTGTTTTACTTCATCTCATTTGCTGGTGTTTTATTGGTCCCAAGGGAGTCATTTGGTCAAATCTAGAATCAAAATGTAAAGGAACAAACTCCATCTCTTGAAGGGCTTGTGTGCAGTAACACATTGAAAAATTTGGATGCAAAAATTAAAAATAAAAGAAGCATTTTTCGCTGTTGAAATTATCTATTACACCAATTAAGGCAGCCACACAGTAATACTGGCAGAAGAGCACAATGTCAAAGACGCAGGGAAGGTCTTAAAAGGAGCCAATGAGAAAAGACAATTTTTCTATCAAAGAGTGATGCAGATTGAACAGCTGGCTTTTAAATAGCAAAAGCAAAAGCCCAAAGTATTTTTAAATTTTTAAGAGATAGTAACTCTCACATGCAGTGGCATATTCACAGCATAATTTTTATTTGAGAATGCCTGTGAAATGAAGACAGTTGTAGACAAATAAAAATCTTCGTTCTTTTGTGTAAGAAGCTTCCCAGAAGGAAGACCTAAAGTAAATGAATTGGTGAATAAATAAATACGGAGAGCATGCATGAGCCTGAATATTCATTGTTGAAATAACAATACAATGCCTCGTTGTATAAAAAATAAAATTAAATATATTAGCAATAAAATTATAGTAGGGGATGATGTGAAGTGTCCTAAGACTTTCACTTTTGATTAATTTTAGATTTGAATTTAGACTTTAAATTTAAACAAAGACTGAAGTAACAGAAGTCATGTTCCATTCTCAAATTAAAGTAGAACAGACAATTTTTTAAAAATCTCCATATACTGGTTGTGGTGGTGTGTTTCTGCAGTTCTAGCTACTCAGGAGGCTGAGGTGGGAGAATTCCTTGAGCCCAGGAAATTAAGACCAGTGTAGGCAATGTAGAGAGACCCTCCTCTCAGTACCTCCATCATTGCTGGGTGCTGTGGTGCTTGCCTGTAGTCCTGTCACTCAGGAGACTGAGGCCGGAAGATTGTCATGATATTGAGGCCAACTAACCTGAGTTCCAAAGCCAGCCTGCACTACATAATAAGACTCTGTCTCCAAAACACCAAAAATCAGACCAAAATGAAACAACCCTCCATCAATCAAAAATAAGGGAAGAGGAAAAAAAAGTGTTTAAGACAGGAGATGTAACTCCAGTTTCAGTGTTTGCTATCAAATTAAACTCCTAACAATTCAGAATTAGAAATGGGAATATTTTACTGGATTCCTAAAACTCAAATTTTGCTGCATTGTTGTTAATAATACAATGATATAAAATAGAAACCATACAAAACAGTAACCAAGTGGCTTTTCTAAAGGAAAAATTGGCCTAAGTAAATGAAAAGGCTCCGGTAACCACACATTCTAGGCCAAATGGTTGCTGCACAGTGATAAACAGTTCAAAGATGCATTGGCTTAGTAATAGAACCTCAAAATACACATTGCTGCCCTCCTGAAGAGCGTGGAAGGGTGGTCTTCTTGTGACAGGGTGCATGGTCACCTGAATGACCCTGTGGGGAGAAAACTGATCTTCATCCTTATTTCATACTACACACAAAATCAATTCCAGGTGGATTATGGGTCTGCACTAACACACACACACACATACACACACACACACACACACACACACATTAGAAGACTAGCTTTATGAACTTTATATATTAAAAATGATTTAAAATAAGACATAAAAATTAATAACTATAAAGAAAAAGACTAGTATACTGGAAGGTAGTAATATTTGTAACTGTTTTTTTTTTTTTTTTTTTTAAACCAAAAATCTTGACTGAGACTTACCGGCAACCATGACTGAGTGTAAAAAGTCACAGCACAGGAATAAAAGAAGCTGTAGAAAGTAGTTGTATGCTGCGAATTTGTTTTATCAACACTGTGTGAAGAATGTCATATCAATAAAATATCTATCCAATTTAAAAATTGAAATAAATACTAATGAACGTTTTACAAAAGGGAATATCCAAGAGGCCAGTGAACAGACGAAAAGGTATTGATCTGTAACCCGGGAATGTAAAGCAAAACATGGGGACACTTAATACCCGTCAGGATGGCTGACAGCACCATGTATGTGCAGGAATGAGGACTTGAACCTCCATCCACTGATGGAGGATGTGCAAA